AGATATATTTGTCTGGAACAAGTGATTGGACACGGTGGCCTGACTCCCGCTTTGTTTCAGAAGCAATACTAAAGACCAGTGTCTCAGGGGAATGGAAGACAGTATTTCCACTTCAGGCCAGAAGGCGTGTCCAAAGTTCTACTGTATGCCACGTAAAACGTTGACCATTTATACTTTCACAGCCTCGTGTTGTGATTCATTCCCCCAACCACCTCAACAAGATAAATACGAACTCCATTAATAAAACTGAGGCCCAGAAAGGTGAAATAATTTGCCGAAGGCCACGCAGCCAGTAAAGCAGACAAAGGACTCAATCCCTACATGGCCACTAGGCAACTATCTTTCCAGGGGAATCCCAAGTTTCCAACCTAAAGTGCATTTCCTTTCACTTTCACAAAAATCAAACCACTTAAGCCCTGACTTAAATGTTACTGTGAATCTACAATCCTAGAATACTGAGGTGTTTTTCATCACATTGGTGCTGTTTACCATCTGCAGCTGGAGTGCAAGCCACAACAAGCCCAATGCGAAAGCAGGCCAAGGAGTCCGGACGGACAGGTTCTGTCCCTTCCTTCATCCAGGACCCTGCGTAATCCCCTTCTCTCTAGGTCTCTGGCTATCACCCACTTCTTCCTCTTCACAGCAAAGTTCCTCGGAAACAGACATCTACAAAACGTGGTCTGGTTCAGGAGTCTGTGAAGCCAAACATGTTCATAACGACAGCGGGACTTTATCTGTCTTTTTCACTTTAGTTCTCTCCTAAGTGTACAATGGAGTTTTCCAGAAGTAACATGATGAGTGACATGGTACCAGATTATAATGCAAGTGAGAATCCAGCTGACTATTAAAACATTAAAGAGATTTGCAAACATTAAATAGTGAGAGGCATTTTAAATAATTACATAAAATATGATATTCACAATAACATGCAACTGGTTTATTATTTATTCATTCATTTGAAAGGAACATTTAAAACATTTGTTTTAATTTTTAATACTGCAAATATCCACAGTTAGAATCCAAACCAAAAGCTCTGTGGAGTTCGTAATTTCAAGAGCGTAACAAGGCTTTCAGACCAACAACTCTGAGAATTATAGGTCTATTTCTCCAATTCCTCTCCTCTTTCCCTCTCAAATCCACTGCATTAGGGGGCCCCCGTTATTCACCAAAACTGCCCATGAGCACTAGGACTCTCCATTTACTAAAGCCAATGGTCAATTCATCTCCCTCAACCCACAAGCAGAATATGCCACAGCATATTCTGTGGCATTCATTTCCCATCTTTGGCTTCTTTCTTTCTCCTCAAGCTCAATGTTGGACAACCCAGAAAACAGTCCTCTAACCTATCTACACTCACTCCAATACTTGGCAATCTCTAATTTTGTATCTCTAGGCTGGACCCCTCCCCTGAACGAACCCCTTCCCTGAACTCCAACTGCCTACTCTACATCTGTGCTTGGATTCCAAATAGGTGCAAACTTTCAGATGACTAAAACCCAACTTTCCCCAGTCAAGCCTATTCCTCCCAATGTCTTCCCCATCTCATTTGATGGCAATTTTATCCTTCTAATTGCTTAGACCAAAACTTTGGAATCATCCTTAATTCCTTTCTCGCACACCTCTCAATCGATCCAGACGGAAACCACATTGGCTCTGACTTCAAAACATACCCAAAGTCCAATCATCGCCCTCCCCCCATTCCACTGCTTCAAGCCAACATCATCTCTTACCTGGATTATTACAGTGGCCTCCCATCTTATCCCCTCACTTGCTCCCCTACCGTTTATCTTTAGGATAGAAGACAAAGTGATCCTTTCAAAAGATCAGATATCCCACAACTGAACATACATCAATGACTTTCCACCACGCTCAAAAATAAAAGTCAAAATCTTATCTACCAGACCTGCTCTACTTGGCTCCTACTTACTCTCGAGCCTTTTTCTATATACTTCTCCCTGCTCACCGTAGAGTTTTCAGGCCTTTTATACTGACTGTTAGCTCTATCTGGGATGCTCTTTCCCCAGAAATCCTCAGGATTCACTCCCTCAACTCCTAACCTCTGCTCCACGGTCAATGTCTCCAGGAGATCCACCCTAATCTCTTGCATTTAAGAGCACAATACCCACCAGCCACCTCCCACCTTCCACCATTCAGATCTCCCTTACTCCTGCCCTGCTCTCATCCTCCCACCCTAGCACTTGGCACTTTCTAATATATCATCCATGTTTATTGTCTGTCTTCTCAATAGAATGCTAAGCTCCACACTGCAAACATTTTTATCTGTTTTGTTCACTAATGAATCATGTGTCTAAAATGGTACCTCTGACAATTAGTTTCCCATTAAATATGTGGAATAAATTGAAGTAGTTTGTCCATCTAAGAAGTCTGGCAGGGGGAGGGGAAGTTGGACTCAGTGGTCTTCCCAACTCCAGCCTCTGACCAGCCAGATACAGCTCATCTACAACACAACTGATCTGAAGCTTTGGCACCATACGTTTGGCTTTGGTCACAGATCTGGGCCCAGGCCCGCAATTCTAAGTGTCCACCTAGGACAGGGTAGGATAGGCGATGGCCAAACTGGCACCACCACTGCTGTACTAATTAGCTTTCAGAACCACAAAATGAATGAACCTAACAGCCTGGGACACTAACCAATAACTCCATTCCTAATTTTTCTTCTCTTGGATGAAGGAATCACTCCTATTTAGCTAAAACTTTGCCCTGCAAAACAGCACAAATCCCAAGTGTGGTTGTCCAAATGGATGCCCTGATCTCAATTAGTTGTGACAACCCCATAATCCTAACCCAAATTCAGGTCCATCTTCCAATGATAACCTTCCTATGACAGAGCAAACTTCAATTCTAAGTAGTCTTTCAAAAAGAAGAAAAGGCGAGATGGAAATAGGAAGTGACAGCACAAAATACAATTAAAACACTGTCTAGCCAACCCCTTTGGTTTCTAACATGGCACTACCCAAACCTAGCTTTGGGGAATGTTGTTCTCTTCCCCACTGAGTAGCAGAACAAATTGGCCTGGCACCTGGAAGGTACTCAATAATGTTTGTGGAATGAAGAATTGAACTGGTGACTCACTCCAGAAATACATTCACAAAAAGAAGAAACAAGGCCTAAGTTAGTAAGAACCAACTCCACCCTAGAAATCCGAGGGAGATGAAAGGAAAGGGACTAAGAACCCACCTGTGTGACAGAAAGCCCTGTGTCTGATGGTTCCTGAGGCTCCTTCCCTATGATCATTAGGATCAACACCACCTCTATCAGCTCACCTCAAGGCTTCAGCAAAATACTACAGCAGCTTATTTCTAGCTGTCATATTGACATTAAAAGAAAAGGGGGGGGGGGACTCTGCTTGACTAAGATAGACCTGACTTTAATTTAGGAGGATCGGGGTAAGTCACTTAAGCCCTTGAGGGGTTCCTAAAGGTGAAATGAAATGGCACATGTGTAAATACCTAGCATACACGATGGCCAATTTCTCATCTTATTTACGTCCCACTCTAGTCCAGCTGAACTACCCTGCTGCTCCTGGTACCTTTGGGTTTTCTACCTCAACCTCTGTCCATACTGTTCCCTCTCCTGGCAGGTTCCTGTCCTTTCTGATGTCCACATGTCTATATGTTCCTTACTAACCCATGGTGGTCTAGTCAGCCTCCCACTGGCCTCAGGTCTTTTGCAGAAGCTAATCCTTCTGCCTGGGATGCTCCCCTCTATCCTTGTTACCTTCTCTTAACTCTGGGCACCAACTACTGCAAGGTTAATTTCTCTTCTCCTTCATGGTAAAATAACTATGATAAATATCGATAAACATATCTCTCCTTAATTAAGCAGCAGCATTCAAGATGGGGCAAGTTTCTGATTTTGCTTATCATATTACCCCAGAAGCTAGCATGGCAAATCACGTGCCACTTAACAAGGGAGGTGTGTTTTAAGCAATGCTCTGATAGGCGATTTTATAGTTGTGCAAACATCATAGAATGTACTTTTACAAACCTAGAGGGTATAGCCTACTACATACCTAAGCTATATGGTATAGCCCATTAATGGTTCCTAGGCTATAAACCTCTGTAGCAGTACAGTTACTCTAAACCAGCAGTTACTCTAAACCAGCAGTTACTCTAAACCAGTACAGTTACTGTACTGAATACCATAGGTCATTGTAACACACTGTAAGTATTTTTGTATCTAAACAGAAAAGGTGATGCATAGCACGCTCAAGTTATGATGGCTGTGACATCACTAGGCAACAGAATTTTTCAGCTCCCTTAGAGTTTTATACTACTACTGTCCCTTATAGTTTTATACTACTATCATATGTCATACTGTCATATGCAGTCCATCAACTCATCTAAATCTTACATGGTGCATGACTACTTGAGAAATAAAAACTCACAATAAATCTGTTAAATAAGCAAAGACTTCCATATAAAAATAAACAATTTGATATCTAAAACAGGAGACTGGTTACATTATGATACATATAATGGAGTGTACATATAATGGAGTGCCATACAGTCACTAAAAGCCATACTTTCAAAGTATGACATGGGGAATGCTCAGTAAAAAGCAAGAAACAAAACTCTTAACTATAGCAAGATCTAAATTACACAGAACTAGATGTCTGAGAAGCAGGGATATGACAACTGGAAATAGTGCTTATTCTCTGAAAAATTGTACCTCTTTTGCACATTTTCTACAGTCAGCGTTTATGACTTAATGAGAACAGGTATTTCTAACAAACTTAAAGAGATTCAGCTCAAATGCAATCTCCTCTCAGAAGACTTACCTAGACTTTCCAACTTGTACTCAGATATTAATTCCACATATCTCCTTACCAAGACTTGGGGAAATCTTTGATAACACTAAATTTTCTTCAAACTTGCAATAGCCTTCCCTCCATCCCCTGCAACTCCAGGGCCCACCCCAGGGCCCAGGATGAAGAACCCAGGCCAGTAAAAGTGTGTGTGAACAAAAAGAGCACTCACCTAGTTTAAAAACACCCAAGATGCTTAGCCCTGAATTTTAAGCAGCACATGTGACCTGGTCCATTCTGGTTTCAAGTTCAAAGGCATCAGGCCGGTCCTGTGGGTTAGCAGCTAACATATCTTTCAAGAGCTGCTTGATCCCCTCAGACATGGAAGTCCTGCGTTTCTGGGGGATGTGCAACTCCATCTTTGGGTTTTCTAGCAGCGCCTCACCAACAGGGACGATCTCAGTCCCCTGTTTAATATAGGTCCCCAGGAGCTCCTTCTTGGTCTCAGAGTCAATAAAAGTGATTCTTTCTATCATTGCCCAGATGATAATGCCCAGGGCAAAGATGTCCGCCTTGGCCGTGTAGTGTCCCTCCCAGACTTCAGGAGCCATGTAGAAGTCTGAGCCGCAGGCTGAGGACAGCCAGTATTTATTCACATTCACATTTTTGTTGTCTTGATTGCCTTCTTTGCCTCGGGGTGCCAGCCCGGCACAGACCTTGCTTAGTCCGAAATCTGCCACCTTGAGGATGGGGGTGCCAGATCGCTCTGTGATGAGGATGTTGTCTGGCTTTAGGTCCCTGTGCACGATGTGGTTTTTGTGCAGGAAGGCAATGGCGCTTGTGAGTTGTAGCATGAAGCTTTTGTTGGTGGCTGGGTCCGGTCTCCGGGACAGGACGTACTGATTCAGGTCTCCACCTTCACAGAACTCCATGACAAACCAGAGATAGCAGGGTTCCTCAGCATAACCCAGGATCCTTTCTCCTAAATCAAAGGAAGATAAGAACTTAAGTGAGATCAACACATACACACTATGTTTAGACTAAAGGGATGCAATATATTATAGTGAGAGTGACAGATGTGACAAACTGCTCCAAGAGGATCCACATAATCAGCACTAAGCCCTGTTTCTACTCACACAGGACAAGTCAAGGAATGTCACAGGCATTAGGGGCTGGTGTCAAGCACCTGGGGTTTGGAATTAAGAGGCCTGGGTGAAACCTCAGGTTCACTGTTGTCTGCCTGACTGCAAAACCATTCTGTTTCACTATACTGTTCCACACAGGTGGCAGCAGGCCACCCTCACCTCCCAGGGCTGCTGGGAAGATGAGACAAGGTAAAGGAAGTGAGATGGCTGTCAAATGTCTATTGCTTCTATCACTGCTACTCAATGCCAGGCAAATGTTATATACATCAGGAAAGGTGAGAGGGAACGATTCTTGTTAATGCAACTGGAATGGTACTTCAGTTCTGTTTACTTCAGAAGTACACTCCAATCCATCAACATTTTCTGCAAGCCTACCATATGCCTAGCATAAATGAGGTAGGTACACAACATGCCTCTGTCTCTATGAAGCTTAGTTTCAAGGCAATGATGGCTAACTGTAGCAGTAACCATCATAAGCCACACATTTGCATCAAGGTCAACTTCTCTGAACAGTGAAGGTGGGCAGGAATCACCAGGCCTGAAGAAGTCAGAAGGGACAGGACTTGAGATACCCTTTGAAGGACAGGCAGTAAGTCAGCCAGGGGAAGCAAAAAGGGAATTCTAGTCTGAGAGACTAAATGGGTGATGGAACACAGGACAAATAGACCAGAAAGGTGTGAACAGAAGTCTGGGGGGAACAGTGGAGTCTGAAGTAAATGTATAACGTAGTACTAAGCTGTGTGGGCTTGAAACTCCAGGAAAACTGGTGACAGCCATCTTCAAGCAGATCCCAATATTTATAAAGCAACTAGTGGCACAGTGAGCCCATACCTGGAAGGTATTTGATGACTATAGAGAGAACCTATGATCTGGATGATACCCCACTAATCCAAACAGCCCTGAAATTACCAACCCGCACAATCTACCAAAGCCAGTGGTTTGGGAGTTCTAGGTTAATCCAGATGATTTGATGTACAACACAAAAGCTTTAGGTTTTTGACCACAATCTGACAGATCTCACCTCCCCTGTAATTATATAATTTTTGTTCATATTACTCACAATCAAAATAATACAGGTAGAACCAGTTTAGGGCAGATTTTTTTTTTAAGTCAGTTGTTTCCCCTCTCATAATCCTCTTTCTGGGTCACTGGCTGAGTGGGCTGTGGCTCTGTACCTAAAAACACTGCAAAATGAAGCAGCCAGCTGAAGCCCAAGCGAATCTAGACTCTGGAGTAACGAGCCATAAAAAGGGGAGCAAGAAACATTTGCTGGTGGTACAGCCAGAAAGGAAAGGATTAAGAAGTCATCAAATTCCTTCTGCAAAGGTCACAGCAGAAAACAGTGAAATTTCTGGTGGGAGAATAAAGGGTGGGGAATGATGATTATTTTATATACAAAGTTGGTAACTATGGCAACTCAAGTAAAAAGAAAAGTCTGCAACAGACTATAATGAAAGTCCAGGTTATGAGAATCCAGGATAAAGAAAAACTAAAACAAAAGTGCCCTAAATTAACCAGTGGGTGGGGGAGATGGGACCCCTGGCACGTGGAGCTTGCTCTGAGGAGGGTTCTAAGTTCAGGACATGCTAAAGGAAGGGCTGTTTGTTGAGAGGAAAGCCCCGGACAGGAAGAAGTCTTCTCAGAATCAGGCACATCAGCAACCATGACAGAATGGAAAACTGGGATCGCGGCTCCTCATCCCAGAGACAAAAGTCCTTCTTTGCACAGGCAAGGGCCCTGGGCTTATTCCATGAGAAGCTGGAGCACATGTTTTCACCAGCTACCCATGAGAAAACAGAAGACACACGTTACAATTCTAGTTCTTTACTTCAGGCAGATCGTCTACCTGGGGTCTCTTCTCAGCTACCTCACAACCAGAGGGATGGAGGGAGGAGACATGGGTGGTACCTGGCATTCAGCAGGCACTTGGGGATGTCAAAGAGCAAAGACCAGGAAGCAAGGAGTCTGGCTGTAGACCCCAACTCTGCCTACTCATTCACTGGGTGGACTTTTGGTTCAAAGGAAAATATGGAGAGGCCGAGGTGTGACAGAAAGGTGGCTAGAACCTTGGGCAAGTCCCTGAACCTATCGGCAGCTCAGTCTTCTCAGCTATCAAATGAAAGAATGGCACCTTCACCACATGACTGCCGTGAATTAAGTCATAGATATGAGCCACATTCTGCAGAACAGAAGACATCTACCTAAAAAGATGACACCCCCATTCTGCAGATGTAACAGAACGTACACGTTAAGGCCAGCTTGAACACCAGTCTACTCTGCGCATGCCTGATTTTCCATGTAGCTTCCCTCTTCTGACCAGCCAAGGCCCCTGTCTTGTGTCAGTGGAGTTTTATTCCAGGCCCATATCACAGTGGGCCCAGCATGTCCCCAACCCCGCCCTGTGGTTATTTCCCCAGTTTCAGGATATATAATCGGAACAGACATATGGAGCAACCGCTAAAATCCCCACGTGAAACTTAGTTATTGAGCTGACAGAAACGAAATTTACTTAAGTTTTATAATTCCCTTGTCTGGTAAAATCTGACAGTTCTACAAGATTAGTAAGAGAAAAAAATTTAGCTTTCTTCTCAGACAGGGAGAAAACAGTGAGTGTTATTTAGAGATAAGCATTTGAGGTAAATTAACCTTTGAGAAACCACTGGGTTCCAGGCACTATTTTAAAAGCTCATGATGTGAGCTGTCTCATCTTCCCAGACACTATTTTACAGGTGGCGGAATCGAGGCTGAAAAAGGCTAAGTAACCTGTCCCAGAGCATTGCCACAGGTAGGTGGGTAGGATGAGCCCTCACAACATGTCCCTCCACAGACAGTGCTGTCGCCCAGCTCGCACAGGGCTAACGGCACACACTTTTAAGGTGAGGAAGGTCCACCTCTGGGATGGTTTTACTACTTTTTTCCCCCTCAGGTTTGATAGACAGGTGACCACAAAATTATGAATTTCAAAACATTCTATGTCATAGTTCACAGGCAGACAGAGAATATGCCAAAAAACAAACAAACAAAAAAAACACACACAAAACACCAAGGAAAAAACCAAGCAGGTATCTTGTATCTCACTCATAGAAATAAGTAGTGTTGAAGTCTCCAGTAAAATGGGGCCTGCTTCACTGAGAAACCTGGTGCCAGCAAGCCCAGCAAAAGGCCAAATCAGTATGAGCTTGGAAAGGCAGGCACCTCCTGGAAAGACACAGAAAATGTCCTGGACCGGACAAGCCTACTCCCAAGTATCCTGCAGAAGTTAGGTTTGCAGGTTCCCGTCAACTCCATTTAAACACTTCCTGAGCACACACTGCTTGTCAGATATCAGCGATGAGGTGAGTTAAGAGTCTGTCCCTGCCCCAACAAAGGTTTCTGGTCATTAGAAGCAGAATGATGACAGCTATGAGAGTGAGGAAGAGGGCCCAGCTCTGCCTGAGGGGTGGGGGAGGAAGCTGGGATATGAGAGGCCCCCTCAGCCACATCTCCCAGGATGAGCAGGGTGGGCACACAGCACTGGGGTGTGAGCATGTGCCAGAGCCCCAAGTAGCCTGGGTCAATCACAGAAGAGATGCAGTAGATGGGCTGGAATAAGGCTGTGATGTTGTATAGCAGACTTCGACCCTAAGAAATGGGCAGGAGCTAAAAGTGCTTAATATATTACAAAATGATACACTGCTTAAGGAATCTAAGATTTCAAGACATACCATTTAAGCAAGCCATACAGGCTGTTGACAGCACTCTGACACACAACTGACCAAGTCAACTTCTGATTTAACTTTGACAATGAAACAAGTTCCCTCTGGAGGCACAAGAGGTCAGAGATAAGATGGGAGACAGACTAGCAGCCAGCTGACTCATTAGGAGGTTCTGAAACCCACAGAGGTGAGGGGTGGCAAGGGAGAAGGCAAGGAGGACAGGGGAGGAAGGGATGGGAGAAAGGTCTTGGAGGTTTAAGATCAACAGAATTTAGTAACTTGTCATGTAAGATGAAAAAGAATTCACAGTACTCTACCCAATCCTCTCAAACATCCATAACTGGTATTCCATCCAGCATAGTAAAAGTGAAGGACTGGAAACTATACAAGAATGGGTAACTGTTAATTATGGTATTGCCAATTGGTTGAAAGCTTTAAAGGGTCATGTAATACTTCAACAGAAATTTACTTAAAAAGCCAAGAGAAGGTCACATAACACATTACGAGCAAGTTTTAGCATGAAGGGGAAAAAAGGCAGAATATAAGATTATAAAGTTAAGTTATGTTTAAGAAAAAGGATTAGAGAAAACACAGAAAAGTGAAGTTTGAACAAGTTGTGACTATGGCCATCCCTGTTTTTGATTCATTAGGAGTTGTACATTAAAATATTTTATTTAAAGAGCTCAGTCCTGAGGTTGATGACAAGTACTCATCCTGGCATGTCTTCTCAAAGATGAGCATGTGGGCGCGTCCATGCTCAATTTTAGGTAGTGTCATGTCACTATAAAGAAGCTGGATATATTGTAAACACCACAGGCTATGTTCAGGGTACTCCTAAGATTAATCAAACAGATCTGTTATAGTGGCTGCCAGGGCAAGATACAGTGTTCTATAAAGAACAAGAATGAACCCATGGGCCTAACAGAAAGGATAAGGGCTGATGAGCCAACCAGGCGTGGGGTCAACACTTCCCCTGCCCCCCAACTTATAAGGCTGTATCATCCTGGGCAAACTTAAGACCTCAAAAATCTTTCATTTTCCATAAATTGGGAAGAAACGCCTACATCACTGGACTGTTGTAAGGCTTGTGGCATATGAAGCACTTTGCATGGTGCTTGGACAGAAGAACAGGCAACTACTGG